AGGTATCTCCATACTGATTTCCACAGTGGTTGCACCAGTCTGCACTCCCACCAGCATTGGAGCAGGGTTCCTCTTTCCCCACAGCCCCCTCCAGCATTTGTTATTGGTTGATTTCTTGATAGCAGTCATTCTTTCTGGAGTGAGTTGGAATCTCAGTGTTGTTTTCATCTGCATCTCTCGAATGACCAGTGATGTGATGTTCAACATTTTTTCATATGTTTATTTGCTGCTTTTACTTCTTTGTTTGAGAAATGTCTGTTCATTATTAGCCTCTTTCTAAAGTAATGTTTTAAACTGGAGGAGTAGCTCCCTGGCAGAGCAGATGCTTAGGATGTGCAAGGCCACAAAGTCAGTCCCCAGCACCAAAGCAGAAACATATATACCCTACAGCACTTAGGTTCAAAGAAAGGCTGTAGCTGGCTGCTCAGGGAACCCCGCTCTGGTTGTGGCGCTGCCAGGCCAGTCCCATAAGCCACAGAATGTGGAATGTTGTGAACACCACCCGTGAGGAAGACAACTGCCATTTCCCTCTTCTCTGTCTCTCCCATCAGGCCGAGTATGAAGTCGCTGTTGATGAGGATTGCAGAGACTGTGCACTGTCTATCTTGGGCAGGTTCTTCAGTCAGGAGGTGGGTTTTCTTCTTTAGAGCAGAGATTTGTATGTGACTCACTTAAAAGATCAAGGTGTGTACTACTTTTACTCTGTTGGATAGGATATAACAAATATTTTGAGAACTTTAATTTCTTATAAATGTTCCCCTTCTGCATTTTTGTTTGTTTTAAGAAATCCTTGAGGAAACAGATACAAAGTATTTTAAAGTTTCTATAGTTCTCTCAAACAGAATGTAGAATTAGGGAGTGTTATTTGCTTTTCTTGGCGTAAAAATGAAATTTTTCCTAAAAGCTTTAGCAGGACTTACTTTTTCTTTCTTTCTTTCTTTTTTGACTCAGTGGGTTCTTGTAGTGAAATTAGAGTGCAGCCTGCTTCCCCCCTGTGACTGTTTAGCTGGACACTAGGAGTCTGCATTCTGGGCAGGCCTCAGTTGCAGGGTGGGAGGAGCGTAGTAACAGCGATAACCTACATTTGGTCAACACGCCTCCAAGCCTGATGCACGTACTACATTATTTAAAGCGCTGGCAAATACATGAGATACTACTGTTATTATACCTATTTCCATAAGACTGAAGATCACAGCTGTTAAGTGCCTTTCTTGAAATTTCACAGCTAATAAGTGTTGGAGCCAGGAATCAACCATGTAGAGACTGGAATTAAGAGAATAGTTTGGTGAGAGTAAGTCCAGGATGTTCATATTCTAACCTAGCTAGCTGGAGAAGACAGGGCTTCCAGTTAGGGGGCCTTGCTGTGCTCAAGACAGAGTGCCAAGGAGAGGCCAGGGCTTCTTAGTAGGCATAAGCTGCGCACAGTGGAGTTGGAGCAGGTGGATCTGACTCCAGAGCTTCTGTCCAGCTCAGCCCGGGCTCACAGGTCATTCTTTTCAAACACAGCTGTTATAACATCTGCATATTTGTAGGTACCCCAGGACACTAATTGGGAGAAATAGAAGTTTCATTTATCTAGTTCTTTTGGGTTTTTTACATCAACTTCTTTCAGTTCTCCTGAGCAAATTCCCCCATAGTAAAGAGGGCTGTCAGTAGGGGTGGGTATGGCAAATGCTGAAAAGGAGGGGAGGACAGTTACAAACCTGCAGCATGGTGTCCTAATCAGGCAGGCAGTTGTAACAGAAAATTACTGACGAGGTAATTTGATAAGATGTAGTGAAACATATGAATGCTGCTGCCAAGTGCCATCCGACAGGAAGGCCCACTCCTAAAAGCATGATGCTGTGTCCTCATCCACCTTATTCACAGGGTTCAGCACCATGCCACTTCTGGCTCTTCCTCAAAGTCAAAATGACCACGAAAGGGAAACATGTACATCAGTTCAAGACATACAGGCAGCTCTGACTGTGCAACTAAAGACACTCAAAAAAGAGGACTTCCAGAACTGCTTCAGAACAGTGGCAAGAATGATGGAATAAATGTTTGAACCAAGGGGAAGAATTTTCAGGGGCAGTAATGGCAAGGTGTGTTTTACTGTAATAATGTATTTGCAATTTTATTGATTTTTTCAGTATCAGGGATTAAATCCAAGGGCACTCTGCCACTGAGCTACATCCCCAGATCTTTTGATTTATTGAGACAAGAGTCTTGCTAAGATATCCAGGCTGGCCTTGAACTTGTAATCTTTTTGGCTTAGCCCCTGAGCAGCTGGAATTACAGGCATGTACCACCACTCTCAGCCAACATTTTAAAAAAAATTGAACTTTCACCTATTTGCCAGTCTGTCTCCTAGATCACTGTGGGAAATTATATTGTATTATTATATACTAGCTATTAAAATAAAAAGAAAGCAATTCCATTTATATTTTCATCAAAACAGTAAAATACTTAGGAATAAATGCAACAAAATAAGTGCAATATGTGTACAATGAAAACTACAAAAAAATGGAAAAAAAGAAGCCCTAAATAAATGAAAAGACACCCTATGGTCATGGATCAAAAGACAATATCATTGCCAGACATGGCGGTGTCTGCGTCTCTGCAGTCCCGGCGCTCTGGGAGACTGAGGCAGAGGATCACAGTTCAAGCCCCACCTGGGCAATCCAGCAGTGTAGCGAGAGTGGCTCAGTGAAACACTGTCTCAAAATAAAAGTTCTGGGCTTATAGCTTAGGACAGAGGTCTTGGGATCCATCCTTAGTACTGGAGGAAAAGGACTTGTATTGTTTAGATTGTAATACTCCCCAAGTTGATACATGAATTTAATACAATTCATACCAAAATTCTAGCTGCTTATTTTGCAGAAATTAACAAGCTGCTTTTAGAATTCATATGGACATTCAGAGGACCCAAAATAGTTCTAATATTCTTAGCTGGGGATGGTGGCACATGCCTGTAAACCCAGCACTTGGGAGGCTGAGGCAGGAGGATTGCCGTGAGTTTGAGGCCATGCTTGGCTATATAGCGAGCTCAAGGCTGGACTGCATAGAAAGACCCTGTCTCAAAACAAAACAAAACAAAAAACAACCCAAAAGGGCCAGGGATTTAGCTCAGTGGTTCCGCTGCCCACCTGGCAAGTGCAAGGACCCAAGATCGATCCCCACTACAAAAACAAACAAACAAACAAAACCCCCAAAAACAAATAAAACCAAAAATAGTTATAACCGGTACCCCCGCCCCCCCAAAAAGAGAGAGGACACACATTTCTCAATTTCAAACCTTACTAATAATCAAGACAATATGGTACAGTACTTGGATAAGGTTAGACACACAAGTCAATAGCATAGATTTGAGAGTCCAGGAATAAACTGATACATTTACAGTCAATTGACTTACAGTGTCTTACTTTCTCATTGCTGGAACATAATACCCAATACCCACAAGTTAAGGAAGAAAGGTTTATTTTAGTTCACAGTTTATAGAAGTTTCGGTCCATAATCAGCTGGCTCCAAGGCAGACCAGCATGGCAGAGGAGAAACACCCCATGGCAGCGTAGGCAGGAAGCAGTAAGCCTTCCTCCCCCACCCCCCCTTTTTTTTGGTACCAGGGATCAAACTCAGTACCTTGCGCGCTTGCAAGGCAGGCGCTGGAACCACTGAGGTAAATCCCTTGCCCCCTTCTTTCCTTTTTTATTCCATCCAGGCTATACGCCTATTGGCTGGTGTCACCCACACTGAAGGTAGGTCTTCCCTCTTCAGGAAGTCCATGATCTAAACCCAGAACTATGCCAAACCAACCAGTAGACTAATCTAGTACCACAGCCTTGATCCAGTCACCTCACAAAAGCCCCACCTAAGAGGGGGGACATCTGATCAAGGCTGTTTGGAGTCCTATATGACTCACTTATCTGTAGGTCAAGCTCTTTTCCCCTGCTTGGGAAGTTTTCTGCCATTATTTCTGTGAAGAGATTTTTTATGTCATCTGCACTCTCTC